AAAAACTGATATAACTTCCATCTCCATCCTTCATGTTGTTCTTTTATCTTTTTAGAGTGATGTTACTTAGTTGGGCCTCACAAAATGTATTCTATAGATTAATTTCCCTCTCCACTGTTCTTTTGTTCTTTGTAGTTCTTTGAGGAAATAATGATGTTAAACTTATCATAGCTGATCATTGATTTGTAGTTGGAAAAGAACCTAGAAGTACTTTAGCTTAATCTCTTTTTATTTTGTAGATAGTAGAATCATAGAAATATACCTAAAAGAGACCTTTGAGGTCATTTAATATTCAAATACAAACAGTCCTGTGGGTCACATATTGACCCAGAAAACCACAAATTTTATTATGTTTCTTGCATTCTGTTTCTATTTATTTTGTTAAATATTTCCACCAACTACATTTTAATCTGGTTTGGGCCATTTGGAAGTTTTGCAGACAACAAATTTGACATTTCTGATTTAATACAAACCCCTCATTTTATAAGTAAGGAAACTGAGGAGATAAGAAGTAAAGTGACTTGCCCAAGGTTATGCAGATAATAAGAAAAACAGCTAGAATTAAAACCCAGGTCTTCTGACTCTAAATCCCATGTTCTATTTTCTACTCCTCTTCTATACAACATAGTGCAAATGAGTTCATAATCTAAGCTCAGTACTAGGTGATTAATTCTGTGCCTATGGAAACCTATTATGTAAATTAAAATATATTTAAAGGCATTCACATTTTTGTCTATTCTCCAAAATTTTGCTAAACATCAAAGAGCTTAGAACACATTTAGGGTCATGAAAATGGCAAGTAGTTCTTTAAGAGTATATTGGGTTTACTCAGATATCTATAAGTTTATCAGCAAAAGAAATGATATCTGTTGGGCTTTCAAGGTACTAGAGTATGAAGGTGAAAGAGACCTTTCTAAAATGAAAGAAGAATAAGAAGTGGAAAGTGCTGAGAAATAAACTTAATTTCTTAAACTAACTATGAAATAGGACTGCCAAATTTATATTAGAATTGTAGAATAAACCAAAAATCCAAAGCAAAGAAGTGTCCAAAAAGAAAGCTATTGCTCACTCGAGGCTCCTGTCTGATTGTGATGGTAGGTTTTTGAGAGTCCCAAGGACTACCAGGAGTCAGAGAACAATGGAGGAAATATGGTGGTCTTCTCCTTTTGTTTCTGCATATTTTTGAAGTTTGGTAACAATTAGCTAGGTGAATTGCACCTCCTAAGTGGTCTTGGGCCTTCTTGATTCCAGGGTATTTATTTGTTATGTTTCCTGGTTATATATTTTAGAAGAAAAGGAAAAAATAGATGTAGGATAGAAAGTGAGAAAGCTTTTTTTCCCCCAAAGTAAATCAAAAATTTTGTTACTAACTAGATTTGTAACCTTAGGCCAGATTGTCACTTTTAGTTTGCCTACTACTGATTAGTAAGAAGAGGACAAAATGAAGAACAAAAAAAATCTCTGAGGTCCTTGCAAGCTCTAATATTCTGTTATTCTAATCCCTCTTGTGCTAGTTCTGGAAAAGCTGTAATCTGATCATTGTTTGAAATGTTTTTTCATTTGATAACTTGAAGGAGGATAGTAGGAATAATATGAAATGTTATTATCTTCAACTCCTTGTCATTTTCACCTCATTCTCAAGATGGGAGAGCTATGAGGTCTTCAGAAGTGCTCAAATCTAATTTAGGTGAAAGTTCATTACCACTTAATATTTCTCCTACAGTAATTCAGTTGGCAGAGGAGACAAGTCCTAGCAAGAATATGGGCAATAGAGGTAGCATCACTACACCCACTACACCCAAAGTCTACCCTTGATTTTTCCAAATATGGAAGTTTCAAGAAAATATTTTGCTTAAGGAACAGATAAGAAGTAAATTCATTCAAAAGATGGGAAATACTGATGTCACTAACAAAATATTTGGTCTTGGCTTGAACATAGACCTGTTGGGTTCAAATCATTATATCAAAATTAATCTAAGAGGAATCCTTCCTTGTCAATCAAAACTGAAGGCTGTCCAATGATAGAGTGCATGCCAAACATCACTTTATAAGAATCTGGATTCAATTTTAAAAACTGCTTGAAAAAATATTTTTATTATAATAGAAGTGAGACCATTGAAGAATATGTTTTACCCTGCAGCAGATGGGAGAAGGGTTTCAACTCTTTGCTATAGGAAATGTGTTTCCTTCTAACACATGATGGGTTAGACAATTTGTTATTGGTTCAAAAAGAGTGGATCACTCTGTAGACTTTAAAAGGAGTGACATTGCCCTTTAGTGCTCTCTCATTTTCTATCTTTCAAGCATAGGTGCACTTTGTGAGGCTCTCTTGAGGACTTTCCACAAGGGAGAACAGGCTCCTCTTCCTTTCAGGCATTGTGGTACTTGGTTGTATATGGCATTGAGAGCACATGTGCTAGTCTAGATAAATCTGAGAATGGAGTTCCAGTTTCTGCCTCTTGAGGTTGTGTCTCCTTCCCTGAGCATAGCAAATAGGAATTATGAGAGATGGAATTTGGAAAGTGTCTACTTCAAGAGTTCAGGAGTTTTTAATTTCCTCAGTTGCAACTAGTTGGCATCAGGAGTTTTCTACAACTACAAACTTCATGGAGATGACCACCAGTAGGATGATAAATTCAAACTATACTTTGGATTTCCAGAAGGCAAAGATCTTGAATTAATTCATCAGTAAGTGTAGAGCGACGGTGAAGATGAAATGGTTATTCAGTAGCCCCACAAAATGTTTCACATTTTCCTATTTTAAAGTTGCTGGGAAACAACTTCCCAGCAGAGTATTATAGGAGTTATTGGTTTCATGTTTTAAGTCTTTGTCAATGCATACTTGTGTCAATGTTTTGTGTGTGTGTGTGTGTGTGTGTGTGTGTGTGTGTGTGTGTTTTAAGCATATTTATCGTGGTGGAATGAATAAATAGCTGTCTAGGTAAAGCCAAACTTAGAGTTTACATTATCCTCCCCCCCCCCAGAGCTCCTGGGTTGTGGGTAAAAAAAGTTAGTGAAAATGAGAGAGAAACTGACCTCTCTTTTAAGTGTCCACATTCCTTCAGGGTTGAATCAAGTCTGTGGGATTCCAGAGCTAGGATCCTTTTGTGGGGAAAGGCCCCTCAGTCTCACTGAGCCCAGTGAATATTAAGTTCACTAGAAACTATATAATCATTTTCCACTGGCCTCCTTGATATCACTAACATCATTATACATGGATGTGTAAGTTCATCACTCCAAAAGCTGTTTTGTTTGAAGTTGTGGTAAGCTTCTGTTACATTTCTTGGCTAAAGTCTTATGGTATTACTGATGAAGCATCAGTTATAGATATCATCATCAGAGATTGAAATTAATTTCTATTCAAATTCTGTTCTTGACAAATATTTTTATTAGTATAGTGGTATACAGAAATAAACAGGAAAATTGTGGTATCTTTTTTTAAATGGCTGTTACTCAATGCTTTCTAATCTCTAATCTTATTCATAGACCTTGATTAGAATATTATTTTACAGTTCACCTGGATTCCCTTCACTTAAAGTTCAGCCCTTTCCAGTGTATGTTTGTGTCTCTTATTATCCCAGGTGACCCTGAGGAAGCTTGATGTAATGACAAAAGTCATTGGAGGTCACTTTTCTCATCTGCCAAAGACTTCTTTTTCTGACAAGGAAATTCTTGGATTTGCCTTTACATATTTCTGATGTCCTCTTTCTTTTGCAGAAGGCAAAAGAGAGTCAAATTGATGTTGCTTATGTGTATGAAAGTTGGGATCTTTTCCCCACTCCAGAGAGAAATAAGTACTTCCCCTCTCTCTTCATAGAAAAACAGAGAGCACTTCCCTCCTCCCAAAAGTTGTTCTACTTAACATTTAAATTCCCAAACAATCTAATAAATATTTAAGCATCAAATCTATTTAAAGCACCACATATAGTGCTGAGGATATTATACAAAAACAAAATAATCATTTCATTGAAAGGGCTCACATTCTACTGGGGATATGCAATATGTACACATGCAAGTAAATGTGAAATAGATACACATTAATTGGGGGGAAAGGGAAGGGAGAGAGAGAGAGAGAGAGAGAGAGAGAGAGAGAGAGAGAGAGAGAGAGAGAGAGAGAGAGAGAGAGAGAGAGATCCCCAACTTCAGTGGAGTAGCAAAGAGCTGGAAGTGTACAAGAAATCTCTGTGGTGATGAAAAAATGGGTCTCTCAGAATGTCACTTTGCTTAGTAAAAGCAATGATGCTTCCTTTATAAACTGAGGCTACATCCAAAAACAATTAGGGCACAACTGCCTCTAAGTTTTCATGTAACCACAATGTAACATTCATGGTATGAAGAATTTGTACTATGTAATGAGGTGTTTTATATTTTACTTGTTTGACACCAAGGTAAACTAGTAGAAACTCTTTGCTGAGTAACCTATTGTTCATTGCCACTTAACAAGCACAGTGGCTATAATATGTCAAAAGAAAATCTTACTGAAAGATAATAACCTAAAATATTATATGTGTGTGTATGTATGTATGTATGTATGTATGTATGTATGTATAGACATGTACACTTTGTAATTAGAAAACCATAGCACCTTCAGCCACTTATAATCCCAGCATGTCAGCTTTTCTCATATGGGAATCCTCCATGTGCTGATGACTGCTCCAATTGGAGTGTGATTGCTACCAGTAGGTCCATTTGTGCATTCTTCCTACCAAGATAGACACTCCCTATTGTTGAACTCTTCCCCTTCGATAGAGAGAGAGAAGCATCTCCACATCCCCCTCCTCTGGAGTTGTACCCCAAAAACTAGTGCATGGGTGTGGGGAGGAGCATCAGCATTACTGCTGTTGATTGTCACCTTCTCCCAACTCTTAAGTGATACAATTTCTAGTACTGGGGTTATGAAGGGACTATTCCTTACTGGGTCAGAGAATGATAAGACACCTTCAGTATGATGTAATTTATTCTTTCTAGCCATTTTATAAAATGATTAAAATTGCTTACAGCACACTATACTGATGGGGGAGTTCAAGAAGAAAAGGAAGATCTGGGTGTTGGTTATTTGAGATTGACCTTGGCTGTACTTAGATATGATTACCAAAATGGCTATTGTAGTTTGAATAACACCCTCAAAGTAACAAGGAAACAAATCTTTTAAACAAAGCTTAAAAATAGTTTCATCATATCTTTCATGATAAAACTGGAGATATTTGAACATAGAAAACAAAACTTAATACATCCAATATGTAAAAACAACAAAACAGCAAACCTTTAAAAATACTTTTAAAATATCATATTTAAGAAACATAATTGTTTAAAAAATACTATCAATCATCATTCTAATGTATGGAACCATGGAGTTTTAAGAGCTAGGGGGAACTTTAGAAATTATTTGGTCCAACATCTTCACTTTACAAATGAGGAAAGACAAAGGAAGGTTAAGGAATTTCTTAAGATCAAATCCAAATTCAACAGACGTATTGAAAGCACCATGAAAAGAGATACAAAGCCAGAGCCAGAAATGGATTAATGATATTTAAAGCACAAAACACACTTGTTTCCAGAAGGAATCATGTAGAGTTGCATTTACCATATTCTCACAAAACAAGGCACATAAATGAAATTTCATCAGAAGGAAATTATTCATAATTAGAGCACTCAGTCACTAAACTGCTGTTAGAAAAAGAAATATGTTCACCAAAATATTTCTTTCCTTTTTGTATTTTGTAAATGACTGAATATTAAAACTCACTTAATAGAGGAACAAACAAAAAAGATCAACAAAACATTTCTTAATTTACTTTCCAAAAACCAATTCATATTAAAGAATGATACATTAGGAAATCTTAGCAGTTTTCATTTTATCCCAAAGAGTTCAAAGATAGGGGGATTGGGCTTAGGAATCAAAATCAGGACCACAGAAATCAGGGACAGAAGAGGGGAAAGCTTTCACAGTAAAACAAAGGAGAAGCTTCCCCATCCTCTTAATTTTAACTAGTAAATCATGAGCATTGGCATCTCCAAGGAAATGAGCAAGCAATAATGTGTCTAATTTTATAGGCCTTTCACATATTGAATTATTAATAGAGTGTTTATTTGGTCTTCTAGCAAATTCTTCCTATGTTGTTACATCATGGTGTGGAGGAAAACCTGGGTCTTTGAAGAACATGCCAATTTAACACTATCATCATCATCACCATTATCACTATCGCCATCATCATCATCATCACCATCACCATAGCTAATTTTTATATAGTACTTACCTCACAACAAACCCATGAAGGAGTTAGTAAGAGCAGTATTTGGTCAATTTTGCAGATGAGAAAACTGAAAGTTATTACATGACCATTGTGACATGGATAGCATATGTTGGAGCTAAGACTCAGATCTAGGTCTTTCCATTACCCTACTTTACTTTTCAACATCATCTATAAGCATTTATGGAAAACTTACTATATCTTCCTGGAGAACTGCAGTTTTTTATCAGATTGGAGCTTCCCCCCAAAGATCTGGCTGTTCAAAGCATCTTGATTGTGGCCAACTGATATGGACCTCAGCTCCCTTAGATATTCACTCTGACTGAATATAGGCATACCTGAGAAATGGAGTTATACAGGGCCTTTGCCATGGAAACATTCTTCTGCAGAATGCTCTGCTTGCCTAAGGCCTGGGCCTGGCACATTGGTAAATTTCAGGAACCAGTTTCAGAACCAGACTTTTTAAAATGAATTTTCCCAGAGACACTTGTTTTATGAAGACTTTGAAATATAACTAATTCAATTATCCTGTGATTTTTCAAGACCTACAAATTTGATTCTTCAAGACTTATTAGATTTAGCATCTGTTCTTTCTGAAAACTTGGTTTCACTTACCAACATCTACTTAGATTCAAGAGCTTCTTTTTAATGGGAGAGTCAGTCTCATAATTTAATTTTGCTGCTGGTTTTATCTTTTCACTGATGCCTTTAATCTCTATTTGGATCTTAAATTGATTTCCTGAAGTGTGAGATTGCAAGGAAATTAACAAAACACTCTCCATGGGAAAAAAAAAGTACAGTTTTCCTCAACTAGACATCTTCTAAATATCTAAACAAGACAGTCCTGCAGTCAAGAGAGAGACACTTGAGATGATCCAATATAGACATGAGTTTATCTTGTCAAGGAAGTTACAACTCCTCACTTAACTCTTCTGACACTTATTTCCACTTTGCTTTTCATTGCTGCTTCTAAGATTTTTCTTTTGGTATCTACCAACCATCAGATTTTCTCAAATGTTTATCCCTGATTACTATGGCTAAAGGACTCCACTAAATAGATAGCAGCTGTCTCATCAACAAATTCAGAGATTTCTGGATAAGAGCAAACATGCTACTGATTTTCTGATTATCATTCTTTATACTGGAGAGAAGGGTCCCACATAACAGAAGGCTCTTCCCTAAGTTTTCTTAACCACCTACAGAAGGGCAAAAGCTAGAGAATTCTGCATAGGCTATCAGGGATTGGGAGTCTTCTGCCTGGAGTATGGCCCACCTGTGGAGACATTTGAAGACTTCAAAGTAAGGAATAGAGTATTTATTTGCCTGGAGCCAGTGGAGATAGAGCTGATCTCTTTCCAGGTTGTGCACAAGTGAAGGAATCACTCATTAATAAGCCCACCTCAGGAAGCAGAAGAAAGTCAAAGGATCCTAGTTCTCTGATATTTACAAACCATTCAGCTATTAATTCACCTCCTTAATGGGATTCTAACTGTTGGAAGACTGGAGCTCTTAGCTCTGGAGAGCATCATCTTTTTGTTGTACTGAGAAAATCACTTGCTATGTTCACTTTCAAGATCGATTCTAGGTTTGTCCTTTGCAGGACCTAAGGACCCAGGTGTAACACAGGATGTAGCTAAGTTGAATAGAGGCTCATTTTCACAATCTGCCATTCACTTATGTCCAATAACAAGAATTTACATGTATTCATCAGACATTCTGGGACAGCCCTCTGACCTCCTTGGGCTGTCCAGATCCAAGTTGGAGGGTAAATGGGATTCATTTTCTCCCTTACTTCTTTCTACCACACCAGAAGGAACTGGGAAATTGGGCATGAATCGTTTGAGAAACCGGAACTCACTGTTACTAGTGCCAGTAGCCGAGCCCACTTCATAAGGACAGACCCGACCCAGAGTCTCTGCACCCTGTCCATCTATCAAATGACTAGGGAAACTGCAGTCATAGTAGAAGTGCTCAGAGGTAGTAAACTGTTTTTGTCGATATTTGATCTTCTGATAAATGTGAATGAGAAAGATTACAGTGACTGAAAACAGAAAAAGACAGGAAAGCACAGCCAAGGAAATGACCAGGTATTTAGTGGAGGGGTTTGTCTTCCTCTCCCGCTTGGACTGATCCCTAAGCTGTACATAAGGATCAGAGAAGCCATCCACCAGCAGAATATTCAATGTGGCGGTGGTAGAGAGTGTAGGCTGGCCGTGATCCCGAACCACAATGACCATTTTTTGCTTCATGTGGTCTCTCTCCGATATCAGTCGCAAGGTTCGAATTTCTCCATTTTGCCTTCCCACGGAAAACAGCCCAAGGTCTGTGGCCTTGAGCAGCTCATAAGAAAGCCAGGAATTCTTACCAGAGTCCCCATCAACAGCGACCACCTTAGTCACCAGGTAACCCACCTCTGCTGCTCTGGGCACCAGGTCATTGCAAGGCGAAGTGCTATTTTGCAGCGGGTACAAGATCATTGGGAGGTTGTCGTTGACATCCAAGACAATTACTCGGACGGTGATTTGGCTGCTCAGAGGCAGGGGCCCACCATTTACAGCCTTCACTACGAATTGAAAGGCCTGGATAGCTTCGTAGTCCATGGATCTCAAAGCATAGAGCTTCCCATTGTCCGAATTAATAGAGATATAGTAGAAGACAGAGAGATCGCCACTTTCGGGAGGAAGCAGTGAATAAGCAATCTGGGCATTCTCGTCGGAATCTAGGTCATCGGCGTGGACTTGGCCAATAAAAACTGCTGGGCTGTTGTTCTCTCTGACAGTCAAGGTATAAGACGCCTCCTTAAATACAGGGGGATTATCATTAATATCGGATATCAACACTTCGATGATCGTCTCTGTGGACAGCTTAGGAATCCCTGTATCCATTGCTACAATGGTCAGGTTATATCCTGGCACTTTCTCGCGATCAAGGGCCCCTCCAGTGACCAGGGAGTAGGAATTTCTGAATGTCGGTTTGATGACAAACGGGAGATCTCCTTGAAGGAAGCAGGTGATTTTCCCTCCTACTCGAACATCACGGTCTCGCACACCAAAAAGGGCCACGACAGTATTGAGTGGAGAGTCCTCTGGGATCGGGCTTGAAATGGAGGTGACCAGTACATCCGGGGCATTGTCGTTCACATCCACCACTTCCACCAGGACTTTGCTGTGAGCAGATAGACCCCCACCATCAATGGCTTGAACGTCAATATCATAGTTCTCAACGTCTTCAAAATCCACTGGCCCTCGGAGTCGGATTTCTCCATTTTCAGAGTTGATATGGAAAGTCTGGAGAATTCCTTCTGGGTTTTGAGCCAAAGAATATGCTATTTCCCGGTTAGTGCCCTCGTCTACGTCGGTAGCGGACACTGAGATTACTAAAGAACCATTGGGACTATTCTCCAAGATCTGGGCGCGGTACACCAACCGAGAAAACTGAGGTACGTTGTCATTGACGTCAAGAACCATGACGAAGATCTGAACTGTTCCAGATTTAGCCGGGGAGCCTCCGTCCACTGCCGTGAGGGTTAAGTTGACCTGGGGTTGCTCCTCTCGATCTAGGGGTTTAATAAGTACGAGTTCCGCATACTTAGGGCCGTGGCTGCGAAAACGAGTATGCAAATGAAAATAGGCATTGGCGCTCAGAGAGTAATTCTGAAGGCCATTGAGCCCCACGTCCAAATCCTGGGCGCTCTGCAAAGGAAACCGAGAGCCCAAGGGAGTGCTTTCAGGGATCTTTAAAAGTGGCCTGTGGTGTGGGAACACTGGGGCATTGTCATTGATATCAAAAACCCTTACCTCGGCTCGGAAGGACTGCAGCGGCTCCTCCAGTACGATTTCAAAGCCCAACACGCACGGGTCCGCTTTCCCGCACAGCTCCTCCCGGTCCAACTTCTCTTTCACAAACAGATCTCCAGTCTTGCGGTGGAGTCGAAAATGCTGCTTGCTGTCATCTGAAACTAGCCGCGCCCCTCTGGCCAATAGCTCTCCGGTCTCCAACCCCAGGTCCTTGGCTACGTTAGCCACAAAGGAACCGCTCTCCATCTCTTCAGCCACCGAATACCGCACTGTGCCCGCGTCACCCTCAGACGCGCACAGAAAGAGAAGAAGGACCACTATTTGCCTGTTAGCCTGAATTTTCCCCTGTAGAGCTGCCATCGGGTGAAGGGCGCAAGGAGGAACTGCAGCCTGGCGAAGATCTTTCACTTTCTCTGCGTAGCTTAGCAATGGCGATTGTTTGAGGTGCTTTCTCCTTGATTCAACCTTGTGCCACAGCGGCCACAGGCGGTATCAGCCCAGAGCTGCAAGATGTTTTTGCACATAGGTAGAGAATATTTTCATTGGACTCTTGAATTCCCTGTCCGCAACAGGTATTTATTATTAGATCTGGAGTCATCTTAAAGAGAAACTGGGAGACGGAATGTTTATTTGGAAAGTCTCAGAATGTCCGCCAGGTGGCAGCATTGTATTACATTTCGGGACAGGTTGAAGAGTAGAACTATTTTATGAAGGACTAAAGTTGAAGCAACTACTGACTGGGAAGCAGTGCCTCTACGCAAACCAAGAAAAGCAGAGTCCACAGAGTTACTGAAATCAAGAACACCAAGGCTTCTGACCCCGCTGGAATGGGTGTTTACAAGGGCCAGGAGAAATGCAGGCCAGGAACACGTTTGGTGTAGGGGCATTACGGTTCTGTTCCACTGATGGGAGTTGGAGTTGGTCAAAAAATCTGACAATGTAGAAACCATAGTTTTGAGGGGCTCAGGATGAAACATGATATCCATCTCCAGATAGAGGTGATGGGTTCAGAATGCAAATTGAAATAGATGTAGATAGATAGACAGATAGATAGAATAGATAGATAGATAGATAGATAGATAGATAGATAGATAGATAAACAGATAGAAAGATTTAGAACATGGTTAATTCGGGTATTTGTTTTGCTTGACTGCATATTTCTAACGGTTTTGTTTTTCTTGCTTTGTCAATGGGTAGAGGAGAAGAGAGGAGGGAGAAAATCCAGAACTGACAACAAAGTAAAATTGAATTATAAATCTGATGGTGTCCATTATCCTCCTTAGGAATCTCACAAAAACTTCCACAGCTGCTTACTGACTAGAAATCCGCCCAAGGTCAATGGGGCTGGGGCCAGAGAATACTAGAAGAAATGGCCACCTCCAGTAATGTGGAGGAAACACAATGGACTGTGTTCTCTGAAAGGTAACATACAGTGTTTGAAGCAGGCTCCTGATTATAAAATGTCATACTTTAATAACTAGTATCCTTGCACATTGAAAATTGATTAAGTCTGTGATTTTTTTGTTAGTCAGAACTAAAGCATGTTACTACAGCTTATGATTGATTGTAACACTTATACAATTATAATGCATTTAATAAAGAAAATTCCCCACCATTCAAATGATCAACCTTAAATAGACCAGGACCTGGGACTCCAAATCCAGTGCTCTTTCTAGTACCTCTGAAAATGTCAAGACTGAAGAGAGCCACCCCAGAATCGTACAGGGCAATATTAACTGCCCTGAGAACCAAAGTTCCAACTTCCAGATGAACAAACCTCAAACTGTCACTTGGAAAGGAGAGAGTATGGATGATGTCTTCAGATGAGCATCCTTTGTCTACACCAAGATTGATGGCATTTATGTAGAAAAAGAAATCCAGGATTTTGACAGTCATTTCCCAAACCTGGGAATTTTCTGGAAAGTCATCAGGCTGTCTATCTTCTCTACAGCTGCAAAGAATTTTTCAAGAGCCTTTATAAAGGAAGTACCTAGTGTAACTATTATAGTCAGCTTCTCTCTTCTGAAGAGTACCAGTTTGAGGGTTGTTGGACAAAGTTGCAATATTCTCTGTTCTTGTGGCCACCATCTGGACCTTCCTAGACAACACTATCCATCACAATATCCATCTCTCTTCATTTCCTCTCAGACAGAAAATTGAGACACTGTGGAAGACAGCATCCCCATTTGACTAACCAACTTGACAGCCCAGTCCTTTTTTATCACTCATTTCTTCCTCCTTTCCACTGATTTTTGTATTTCGGAGTTGAGTTTGCTCAGTGATTTGCCAAAAGTAGAAATTGTGGGTGTCCCCTCTCTAGCAAAACTCCAGGACCTACTCAACTGTCCTCTGAGAGGGGTAGGGCACAGGCGTGCATGTGCAAGAGACAAAAAAAGAATCCTACCACCTAGAGAGTTTATTGAGTTAAATATTGATATCATCTTATAACAAACTTATGATAAAAAAATTGAAATTTAAAATAACCAAATAATACTTAGGGAACTGAGGTTGAGTAAAACAACTTTCTGCTCAGGGCCTCAGATCTTCAGTTTTTTCAAGAAATGACATCACAAACTTCTGTTGCCATTAGCAACTCAGAATTTGGTGAGGAAATACAATGTTGAGACTGTGAGGAGTCTTATGACATGGCCCTTGAATCTATCTTTAACTCGGTCACATTAAAGTTCAAATCAATCTCCTAGCCCCATCTCAAATAATGTGATTTATTAGTCTATAAATTTATCACAGCCTACTCTTTTATATCTGCATGCATTCCTTTATACAATGACATATATAAACAAAAACTTATTAAAGAAAAAATTAATGTTTTGTTTTATGTGTCTATCATTGGTGGGATTGCACCTGCACAAGGCTCACCTGAGAAATTTGTGAAGACTTCTCATGTCTTCAGGGAGAGAGAAGTTAGAGAAATTAGAGAAATGATAATTTTTTTCTGTTTGATATCATGATATGAGCCACTTGAGTCTAGATTAAGTCTTTTTAGTGTGAACTATTTGAATCTAGAGGGAGTCTTTTTAGGAATAGATTGATTTAAATTAAATTGTATTTAAATTAAAACCATCACATCTTAAGTTTTAAATTTTACTGTTCTTTTCCAGAATTCTGCTCTTCCATTATCTCCCCTCCTTCACTTTTGGTTTATTCATTAATCAATGTCCTAGAAAAAAGAGGATGTCTGATCTTGGGTGTGTCAATTTACTGTAGCTCCATTAAGTATTTCCCACCATTACTTTCATTTACAATGTCTTTAATTGTTCACTATATGGACCTCCATATAATGTTTCACTTCTCCTTTAGGAACACTGAAAGGGATAGAATAAATTAAAGTTCCTCCTATAATTACATTGAAGTTTTATGGGTTTATTGTGTTCCTTTGGGGGCACAGAGAATGAGAGAGAGAGAGAGAGAGAGAGAGAGAGAGAGAGAGAGAGAGAGAGAGAGAGAGAAAATCTTCTCATTCTTCTTTATGTCTATTGACTTTCCATATTGATATTGGAAAGATGCTGTAGGTATTTTTAAATGGAAACCAAAATAAATTTAGAATTCCCTCCCAACAACCACAAGCTCCTTGATGCCAGGGAATATCATAAATTTCTTTGTTTTAATAGCTGTGTGACCCTGGGCAAGTCACTTAACCCTAATTGCCTAAAAAAAAATTTTAATTAAAAAAATAAATTTCTTTGTTTACCCAGTGTTCAGCACAGTGTCTGGCACATAGTAAGTGTTTAATAAATTTATTGACTTCATAAATAAAATAAATTATTGATGTAATAAGCTTATTCACTATTAGCTCTTTTATTTCTACATTGGCATTGTCCAGGCACACACTCAAGCAAAATACAAGCAACTCTTTCCTTGTTGACTGATCAATCTCGTGACATATATTGTAAATTGAAATCATTCCAATTGATGCTACCTTTGTCACTAGCACTCAAAGACTTTCTAGGACCTTCCACTATTCAGAAAGTTGATTTCTAGAGGAAAGGAAACACAAAAGAAGAGGCAAGGCATTCTGGGGCCTTTGATAAAAGGCCTTGACTCATTGAGTCCATGCCTCTTATGGGGAGTGGAGACCTGACCATTATGCCACAGTAGGGAAGGATCCTTACTTCTGCTGATCCACAATGTTTTAATACATTTCACTGATGCCTTTTCTATATCATCAAGACTCCCAGATCCTTCCAGGATGAATTCTCCCTAGTGACAAGCAAAAACAATTATGCAAAAATGTTTGATACAAGGATCATGTCTGATAATGTAAAAAATATTATTTGTTCATCCACAATGTTTCTACAAAGAAAAAAAAGCTTTAGATGAGGCACAAAACTTCCTTCTAGAACTATAGGGTTTATAGCTGGAAAGGATTTTTGAAATGATGAAGTCATTTTTCTTCTTTAGCTTAGTTTCTTTTTGTTCCCTAGCAAAATAATCCTAGTTAACAATTAACTATCTGAGGAACCTTGTAGAATTGATGATAATGTTTTCATAGGGACCTAAAGTTCCAAGTGGAAACCAAAACAAAGTATAGTATGGCTCATGTTTTTAATCTTTGAAACTGTCAATATTTAGATTCCTAGCCAAATCAACAAGAGTAGAGATAATTTGGGGGTATTGGTTAGCATCTAAGAATTCTCTAATTCACTTTGGAGGAATTTGAACTAGACAATCTCTTCCTTCCCACACTGATTTTTTTAATTTTATGAACCAATGAATTTCCTTCACATGAATCTTCTATAGCTGCCTGGATGAAACAATCTTTTCCTCTTCTTTTAAAAGAAAAATATTAATATTATTTGGAATTTTTAAAAGAAATTTCATCACCAATGAATTTTGATTTCTTTTTTTTTTACATTATGTACATTTCCCTATGTATGTCTTTCTCCTTCTCAGAGAGTCACTCCTTACATAAAGAATAAAAAAAAAACTCAGTTCAACAAAACCAACTCTGGCACCTCTTCTTGGGTCACTCCCCTAACTAGGCCCTTGAACTCACAGGTCAGGGCTCCCAGAGATAAACCTAATGTACTGTTCTTATAGTCTTATACCTCATGAATTTTCACTCATGTGCTCCCCATTAAAAATCAACTTGTATATGCCACTAGCTTTTAGAAAATAAGTTTTCTGAGAAAGTATAGCAAGAACAGTTGATACAAAACATTCTGCCTCCAAAACTGTGGCCCCCTCTACCCTTACCCACCCAAAGTATCTGAAGAAAGTGGGCTCAAACTTAAAGTACAAAGAGCATTTGTTCAAAATACATGAGACAGAAGAGTTACCTCACAATTCCTGGCACCAAAAGTCCTTTACTCCCTCCATGGAATCTTTACCATGTATTCCTTAGGCGTATCAACCTGCTGGATGGACAGCCCAGTTAAGATT